ACTCATCAGGAGGTTGAACCTGGACAGACAGTCTGCCCAGGTAACACTCACACCAACCTTGCAATGTGTGTGTGTGTGTGTGTTCTCAAACTTCCCCATGGACTGATTGGTTGATCACTGTCTTTATGACATCTGATCCCTTGCCACATACAACGCGCAACAGCAGTCACACTTATTTAATCAGCTTCCAAGTGGATTGAAATCACATCTGCCGCAAGGAATGCCAAGTCTTGCAATCCCTTCAGCAAATCCAAGTGCCAATGCATCTGGAGTTCCCTCTGAAGTGCATCCGACGCGTGGAATGGATGACCGTGTTTCCCAGCTGAAGGATGAGGAATTGGGAGGAGACGGTCGTGATGCTTGGTCCGCTTCCGGCGATGGGAACACGAGGAATAGCAGTGCCAAGGATTGGGGAAAAAGCAGCCGGAGAGAAACCGTGGACGACAATGCTGACGCTCATCAGTCGCCTGCAGATCCGTCACCTGATGTCGCAAACTCATCATCAGCTGCCGTCTCAGACGGAAGTCTGACGCCGGCCCCCTCAGACAGGGTGGTAAATCCTGCTGTGGGCATCTTGCCGAGAAGCGATGCTGTGCCGGTTTTCCCGAATGTTACAAAGGTAAAGAGGTCTTTTACCTTTTTCCTTCAGTTTGTTGCTGAAGGGTACTACCCACCTATAGCTGTCAATGATTAACAGGTCGTGAAATCAAATCCTGGTGGATAGTACAATGTTAGGGGCTAACGGTCCACTAACCCTATCTTTGAGAAAGAAAATAAAGAAAAAGAAGCGCAGAAAGGGTATGTGACGGAAAAAAAAAAGAAGAGAAGAAGCGACATACCTTAGTTTTGGCCCTTTACTTTTCCCTTCATATCTAACCACCTTTTCCTCTCTTCTGTGRCKGAAAAAAAAAAAAAGAGAAGAAGCGACATACCTTAGTTTTGGCCCTTTACTTTTCCCTTCATATCTAACCACCTTTTCCTCTCTTCTGTGGCTATGAATGTTCCTGTCAAAGGCTGTCATCCTGTTGTCATGAATAAAGATGCATCTGTAATTTTCTTAATTATTCTATTAATTCAATTTAGTTTCTTTCTGTTCGCTGCCAGTCAAATGCGCTCTGCGGTGTGCAGTCCATTGAAGAAAAAAAAAGGCACTTTGCGGTGTGCACCTCCTCAGTTGGGCAGGTGTCGAGATCTGGGCAGTATTTTGCCGGATAGCTGGTCGTTTTCACATTTTTTTGAAATTTTCACATTTCAATCTGCTCAGGCTGGTTACCATGGTTCTCCTGTCTTCTCGTGCAATAGGAGGAGAACTGTGCAAGGAAAATGAGCGATAGCGAAATGACAGAAGTCCAGAATGCAAAATCACATTGAAAGCCAGAAAGTTCAACTCTGTCCGGAAAGCATAAATGCACTGATATTCCACCAAGGGAGAACCAAAGCACTGAATCCGAATGTCAATGAGAGCATACTCTCGTCACCACCAACCAACATATGTCCGGAGAAGGCTGTGGGCAAAGCACATTGGCCAAAATCCAGAGCCTCCTGAATCGAGGACTCCCTCACCTGCTCACCACAGTTTTGGTCGCTGATCTTGATTGTCTACGGAGGGGAAATGACGATTTCTGTGGGACCTTATCCCTTGGTGTCTTACCACAGAACCCAACTCAAATGCAGACCAGGTTCGTTCTTTGTCAGACGAGGGGCAGACTGGCTTTAGCCCTGGCCCAGCCTGCGCTCATCTTCTCTGCTGATACATTACATTTGGTTATTGTGCGAATTTTCATTCCCTGTTTCTCGATCAGCTACGCATTTTAACCGATTACGAGTCACTCAAAAGATATGCAGAGTCGTCGTCGTCGTCTCTTGGATCAGCGGAAGACAAAGGCGGTTCGAAGAGCAACAACTGTGCAACCGAGGCGGCGAACAGGTACTCCCCCTCCGCGGTACCTGCGCACAATAGTACATCGTCAAATAAAAGCCTGGATGGCTGCAGCAGAGATGAAAGGCTAGTGAAATGCCAGCTGTTTAACTTGTCCCTCTCCAACACAGAGCTCGACATACTGCTGAACGGAAAGGATATGTATTGGCTTGACTTAAGTGGGAAGGTTCCCGACAGTGTCTTTGCGCATTGTATTTCGTGCTCGCTGGAGTATTTGGTTTCAGATGCCGCAGGGAATCCAGAGACTTGCGCGGTCGCACGAAAGGAGGCAGCATGGTGTGACCTGTGGTGCCCGTTGCGTAATACTTGCATCCAATGGTACCGGGGCCTGTTGAGCGAACGCACAAAGTTCGGTGGGCATACCAAGCTTGGAATGCACGTCCCAAGTCATCGACCCTACGTTGTCATTTTTCACGATGCATATGTGACCCGAGATGGTCACGTATACAACGACGAGGTTGTGTTCAATTCCCGATGGCGCTGCCCGCGTTCACCTTTCTCCATGGCCAAACCCGAGCGAGCGTGGGAGAAGTTCCGATACAAGAAAGTACTTGTTGTAGATTTCTACTGGAGGGGAATTTATCACGAGATAATCGATGCTCTTGCACCAATGACTGCCTACTACAAGGAACTGCTGGCTGACCCAGAGATCATGGTGCACGTGACTACAGGTACCACTCATCACCCATTGCTCTCACTGTCCCGTTCTTTGATTCCCAATCTCTTGGAATGAAATCTGGGACTAGGTCCTTCGGGACATCCGTTAAAATTGGAACGATACAGAGAAGATTAGCATGGCCAAAAAAAAAAAAAAAAAAAAAGAAATCTGGGACTAAGTCTGGGACTAAATCTGGGACTAAATCTGGGACTAAATCTGGAATGAAATCCGGGACTAAATCCATCCTGTGCTGCACTGAACCACATCCGGGGATAAATCTGGGACTAATGCAAGGAAAATGAGAGAGTGAAATGACAGAAATCCAGAATGTAAAATCACATTGAAAGCCAGCAAGTCGAACGCTGTCCAAAAAGTGGAAATGCACTGATATTCCACCAACGGAGAACCAAAGCACTGAATGTGAATGTCAATGAGAGCATACTTTCACCACCACCAACATATGTATCCAGAGTCCTTCCTCCTCCTTGGCACCCAGCGCCCAGAATACTATCACACAGCCAACTAGCAGCCTACGAATTCACAATGCCTCCGGTTGACGTCAGCAGCAGCAGAACCGAAGTACATGAAGATGTCGACCCTTGTAGACCATTGCCAAGACCAGGTATGTGCCCTCACATCATCAACCTCATCTCTCTCTCTCTCTCTCTCTCTCTCTCTCTCTCTCTCTCTCTCTCTCTCTCTCNCTCTCTCTCTCTCTCTCTCTCTCTCTCTCTCTCTCTCTCTCTCTCTCTCTCTCTCTCTCTCTCTCTCTCTCTCTCTCTCTCTCTCACCCAGGTCTTCAATCTCATGCACGAAGACCACCACCACCTCCACTTGCTATACCCAAGCCAAGCCCGACTATGGGGGCTGGCTATGGCGCTCCCCTCAGCAGCACCCTGCACATCCGCACGTGCACGCAGCACCAGCGCTAGCGCAGCAAGCGGCCCGCGAGCGATCAATCCAGCAGCACTGCAGCCCGCAATAAAGCAAGTGCCCACATGTGCCGACTGTAGCTCAGCCCTTTCCTATATGGAAAGTGGCGGGTGATTTCCACTCGTTTCCCATGCGAGACCGAGTTTCCAGTAGCTTCAGTCTCGGTCAAAAGTGTCTGCGCCTAGGCCCGTTCAGACAGTGGCCTGGGACCGAATTGATTAGGTTTGCCCAACCGGCCAGGCACGAACATGCGGTGCTCCCTGCTTAGACCACGTTGCTGGAAGAGCCTGGAAGGCTCACAAATATTTTGGATTCTCACGAGCAAGGCGGATGTAACCAACTGGCGCGTGGCAACTGTCTGGCGCCCACCAAGATTTGCAAAAAATGACGAACTCAGGGCACACTGGGATTCAAGGGGCCCGCCTTCACTTAGGGTGGGCACGCGCCTGCTCCAAGGCCCTAGCCGAGGTTTAAACCCCCGCACTAAATCTGGGACTAATATGGGACTTAGTCCTGTGCTGAGGCATTGTACACATGCAGCTGACTTCCAAAAAGTTGGGAATTAAAAAATGAGTGGTTCTTACCCAAGAGCCTAGCTCAGTGGGTACACACAATGCACTGTTGAAATACAGACCGAAGTTCGAACCCAGATGATGGAATTTGATTGATGAGTAAAAATATTTCTGAATTGCCTGGGGCCGGTCAGCTCAAAGATGATATCTCAAGACCATCGCCCTTTAAAAAAAAAAAAATGAGTGGTTCAGTGCAGCACAGGATGGATTAGTCCCAGATTTAGTCCCGGATTTAGTCCCAGATTTACTCCCACATTTAGTCCCAGACTTAGTTCCAGATTAGTCCTGTGCTGCACTGAACCACTCATCTGGGACTGAATCTGGGACTAAATCTGGAACTAAGTCTGGGACTAAGTGTGGGAGTAAATCTGGGACTAAATCCGGGACTCAATCTGGGACTAAATCCATCCTGTGCTGCACTGAACCAGTTATATTTTTTAATTCCCAACTTTTTGGAAGTCAGCTGCATGTGTACAACGCCTCACTTCATCAGTCTCGCTTACTCGTTGGTTGATTGCTGATTTCTCGGAACGAAACTGATCCTGTGCTCCATTGTTCCCTCGCTCGGTCTTTGATTTCCTAGTTTCGTCGGGAACTTAAATCACGAGATCCATTCTGCATTCCCTCGTCCCTCGTGCGCTCGCTTGCTCGCTCGTTGATTGCCGACTTTTTTTTTTGGAAAATCCGAAAATCCATATGTTATTCCAGGTTTGATTTGTCAGTTACTATATTATTATTCCTTTGAGCCAATGGGAGGACTCTCCGATGCTTGTAGAGGACCAGTACAATCCGAGCCTCTTTTTGCCACGGCGGATTCACAATGCGCGCTAAGCTTCTGCCATACTGCCAGGGGTGCAGTTTTTTTTTCCATTTTTGGCTTGCGCTGCAGTTTTTCTTTGGGACCAGTCGCCCCGAGCCCCCGAAATGTTCAGATTGGCTCGATTTCGATTCTCGAGTTTGCCTAGACGATGTGCTGGCAGTTTTGTTCTTGTAGCCCGCCCATGCTCCCCTCCTATTCTCGACCGACCGATTTTTTGCATCTGATTCTTGCTTGCATGGCAGTGAATTGTCGTCTGCTCTGTGCTCTTCAAAATTGCTCACATGACACATCATTCATTTTTCAATTGGGCAACTTGTGATATGCTCACAGATAAAAACGACACGAAGTTCGAAGAGTTTCCTGATGTGCTGCACAGGACTTCCCACAGCCTGGAGAAGATGATGGAAATTCTGGGAATCGATCGGTCACGACTAGTGACGGGCGACGTCTATGCGTTGGAAGTCGTTGCTGTGGAGTTCTCGTGCCAAAACAGTGATCCGCTGGCTATGATCTACCTGCAACGCTTGTCAAAAATCATACAACGCAACATGTTGCAAAAAGGCGATGATCACATCAGGTAATCAATCATCTCTTAGACTCTTTACCTATTTTTGACTGAAATGCATTGATCGACTCCTGTGTATGGAACGGGCTATATATCAGGGCTATTG